CCTGTGGTTGCTCATTTCTGGGGGATCAAAGGGAAATGCCATAACGAATCATGTATTCTTGAAATCAAACAGCAGTGTCACATGATGCACTGGAGATCCCCGTTTTACTTGGAACTCATGGATGAAGGCGTACCGACAGAAGACAAAGGCTGGGCAACAGATTGTTTATTGAGAAAATCAAAATATATTTATAGATTCTTTATGTACTGCATGCACTGATAGTCACCATCCTCCAAATGACTTTAAGTTACACGACCAGACATTATCGAAGCATCTGCACTAGAAGCTGACACGTTAACCCGAGACCGAGCACTTCGGGAAAATCTAAATTGAATTAAATAATTAATAAGACCCTTTGCACAAGGAGTGGCTTTCATGGCCCTAGTGGTCTAGTAGATAACTCTTTGGCATTGGGTTTGAGCCTCGGTGGGAGCACCGTGACACACTGTGGGATGCAGGTACATCCAGATGACGAGTCCCAAATAGGACAAAATGCGCGTTATCCTGGATTCCACTGCTAGTCACCATCCACCAATTAATCCATAATTACATGCTCAGACATCGGCGAAGCATCTGCACAAGAAGCCGACATGTCAACCTGAGTAGACCGAGCACTTCGATCCAACCAACCGGCGGGAAAAATCTAAAATTGAATTGAACAATATATTCCTTGATATCATATTTATTCCATAAGGTATATTTTGTCTAGTATGGTGTATACTTTTTTTTAATGAGGAAGTCTGAGTGCTATTTCAACCATTACCTTCTCGTTGTGAATTCAAAGTTGATAATTGAAATTATCTAGTTTTCAACTACTTTAACGCTGAATAAGTAGTATATAGCATCAGCCAAATAGACTACTCATATCTCTGACCAGTTACAACAATTCCTATTAAATAATGCCTATTATTCGAGCAATTTAACAGAAGTAATATACTACTCACTAATTTGAGTAGTATATCCAGGTCCATAATTATTTTTATTTCTTTTCTTTCATTAATTTATCCCACTTATACTCACTGCATATGTTTACTGGTTATACAATGCCAAAAAAGGATACTTCCTATCCGGCAGCTGGAGAGACTAACTGTTGCTTTATCGATTTATAGCAATCATTACGATGATGATGATAATAATAATGTCGAATATTTGCCTTCTAGTCTAGGGCAGGACAACATACATAAAAACAATCGCTTGAATACATTAAACCCCTTTGGCATCCTGCCGAGAAACACATTCTCATTCAGACCGATTAATTTGATTGGTTAAAAAACATGTTAGACATATTGGTATTTTTTTGTAAGGCAGAGAGGAAATTGGGCGGTAAAGGGGAAGATAACACGATTGTCATATGCTTAAATGAGCATATGCTCACTAGAAACAATAATAAAAGAGGAGGCATTAACGATTGGGCGTAGAAAATACATATTCAACTGAACAGTTTGGTGTGTCGAAGTCTGTTCACTAAACTACAGCTCAATTTCATGATGTACACTACTGATTTCTAGAAAAAATTTTGCTCTCCTTTCTTTTCTGTTATCGTTTTGGACAGAATATTTTTAGAATATGCGGTATTCAAAGCCGGTCTTGATTTCGTCGCAATATTTTGCTTTAATTAGCTGGTTGAATTTTTACAATAGATATGATGAAGGTATGGGTAAAACATAAAATGGGCACTCGAATCAACAGCCTGCTTCGATGATTTCATGTCAATAGACTAAAGCTGGCATCACAGCGTTCTAGGAGAGCGCGGGTGGGCTTTAAATGTTCGGAGTAAAAAGGGCTTTAGTATAACAATCGATGGGTTCAAATAATAATAAGTCGATTCACATGAACATGATTTAATATCATGTGTTCTCAGTTTCGCCTTTTGCCACCGTCAAACATAACGCAATCCCATAGATGGAGCAACGTTTTGTCGAGGCTAGAAAAACTTTTCAGACCTAGTATTAATATATGTGTAAAACTTGGGCACTGTGGTAGTAAGTAATTCAATATTAGTTTGTTTATTAGATGTATCACACAGTGAAACAGTATTATTTACTGGATGACGTTTCGAACAAAATTTATTGTTCATAATCATGCCATCAATTATAATCACACGACTTCGAAACTTGAGTTTGATAGTTTTCTTTGTCATCTCCTGTTCGTTATCGTAGGGGTAGTGGAATTTTCCAGATATTTGGGACAGGTGTTGAATCATTCCTATTACATGTATTTGCAATTGATTCGATAAACAAAGCTTCTGTTATGAATCTCTCCCTCCACCCTGTTACAATAGATTTAAAAACTGTCTGCCATCTTATCCCATCCTATTGTATGGTTGTGTGTGACTGCATGTAGTGCTATAACCGAACTATTCTCTAGATTTCTTATCTTATTTGGATCAGCCAATCTAGATTTCGCTATATTTTTATGTTCGGCTAGTCTGACTGCTCCTGTTCTACTAGTTTGACCTATGTATTCGACCTGACAATCATTGCAGGGTATTAGATAAACTAAACTGTTTTGTTTTAATGGCTCCACTTGCAGAATCCTTTAACCAACAAAGCTTGTTTCTATTTGAGTTTGTGGATTTGAATGCCACTTTTATTCCTGTCTGGTTAAGAATTCTCCATAAGGTTTCCGAGGTTCCCTCCCTGTATGAAATTACTACTGATGATTTAGATCCCTTATTGTTGGTGTTGTCTCGCTCATGTTTGACGTGCATTTCGTCACTAATATTACTATTATTATTATCACTATCACTACTATTATTAATTATTTTATTTTTACATTTCCCTACATACTTTCTGAGTAATTTATCCGGATAATTATTAAATTTAAGGCTTCTTTTATGTGTGTCACTTCCTGTCTTAGATTTTCTTTGGTACTATTTAGTTTTTGTGCTCTATTATTTAAACATTTCACCAATCCTTTTTTTACTGATATAGGATGGGGTGATCGGAAGCCCAAATATCTGTTTGAATGTGTGGGTTTCCTGTAGACATTCGTTTTTAACTTCCCATCTTCTTTCCTTTTTATACTGCAACCTGACTTTCGAATTCATAAATGAATGGAATTTCCCCCACCTTTGAGTTAATGTGTTCGAAAATCTCCCTTTATCCTGTGTTCTAAGTACGGTGAATGTGTCATCTTCATACCTCCACCATACTTTTGGGGTGGGGCTAAACATTTCAATCGCTATGTTTTCCCACCTATCCATGAATATATCTGCCACAATCTAGACCTCATCTGATTCAAGTTAATTCTGATTCAATTGATGTAATATTTTATGATTCTTTGGGGTTCCCAGTGAAAAGTGGGGATTCATTAGCACACCTTCATCTCAGCCTGTCCTCTTCAGTCGCTTTCAGAGACGATTGCCCATGAGATTTTATTTTTTCATCACATGACCTTTTCCATGTCAACCTCACTGTCTCATTTTATCACTCCCCACTCAGGATCCACTCAATGTCCTGGCGAGTGATATCAATCAAAAGTTTCTTCAAAGAATGTCCGATTCATCTATGTTTTCTTTTCTGAACATTTATTGGAGAATGTGTTTTTTGATTGGTTCGTTGTCAAAGTTCTCTGTTGCTCATCTTTTCTGAACATCTGGTCTCTATTATAAAGCAGAGACATCATTACATGCCCTATTCTTCTCCATTTTCTCCCATTTATTTGTTGAGCGCGTCGGCGGTAGAGCGGTTAGGACGATCACCGACCATGCACTCGGTCCGGGATTCGATCCCCGGCCGACGCACTCCTTTACCTTGCCAAACCAGTAATAAAAAGCCGGTAAAGAAGCTAGCAACCCCATCCTGTAGAATAAACACTGCTACAGAACCTTCAAGCCACTAGCTTGAAGCCCTATGTTCCACTGGAGAACGTGAAGGAGAAAAAAAATTTGTTGAGCAATAGGTCCTTGATTGGTTTCTTTTCCAGAATTCTGTTTTGTTTTTCCTTTCTGACCCACAGGTCATCTAATTTTTAGTATGAAGTCAGTGAAGGCAGCTGTTAGTGAAAATCCATATTCGGTCTAAAGTGATTTCCCTGAAGTGACGAGTCTCAGAATCATGTAGAAGCACTTACTTAACGCTACTGTTAAATATCTGAATCTTGTTCTTTATGCTTGATACCACAGAACGTCACACTGATCTCTGAGTGATACAGGTCTGTCTTGGTTTTTAGATTCTGGATGTGATATCTCCATCCATACCGCCTGTAGTTTAAACAGTGATACGAGAATAACTTTAAAGAAGTAACTACATTCCCATTTCTGCAGGTGACAGTGTCTGGTTCTTGTTATTATTGGTTGGTTACCTCCATCACCTCCACCTTCTCTATGTTCATTTGAAGTTCTGTTTTGGCTGTCTGCTTTTTCTACCAACTTGTTGCTTTTTACATCTTCCCGTTTATGTAACATTTGAGGTAAATCGCCCACGAAGTCCAGGTATTCTAGAATTTTGTAGTTAGCCTAGTAGCCAACCAGATTTCAAGTGGTCTTGAACTGATTTCACACTTTGGCTGTCTGATGCTTTGATAATTTCTATCTAGCCGACAAACACTACTCATACCAACCCTCTAAGTAGTATATGGCTCTAATCAAGTACGCTTTGGACACAGAAAACCAAACAGAAAGCTTCACATGAAAACTTGTGAAAAAGTCCCATAGTCAGTGATCTTCAATATTCTAGAATCAGTGTCACAATAGAATAAAATTTATTCACTTGACTAGCTGCCGCCATTTTTAAACTCTGAGGTGACAGAATCTATCTATCTCATAATTATCACAAAGACAAGAGAAACCACAAGGAAATAAGCACACTAGATGATGAATTTAAATTTTGCGCCTCACGACTTTTGTTTTAAACGACACTTTTGAACAGTTTTTTCAAATTTCTGAATAGAGATTCATAACAAGACTGGAGGCGAAAATGAAAGTAGGGCGAAATTGTAAATTAATTCTACGTTTAAATGAAATATAACAATGATGTCTCATCAGGAAATTTTTAAAAATGCGTGTAAACGGCGGTAAGTTCGGTTGGTTTCAGCTGTTTCCTTTTTTTTCTATTTCTGACAATGTGACAGCTCATAAATCGTTGCAGCACGCATTTCTAATCTACGTTACATTTTTCTGTGGATTTAGCCAACTCGTTCTTGTAATAGTTTGATGAATAGTATCATGTTGTGAGAGGCAGTTTGGTAAAAGGTATGTAAAGCTTAAATTCATCGAAGAGCTTCCGCCATAGGTAATCCACTGCTTTTAGTAGGTATTTATTAAAAAATCTTATTTGGAAATCAGAAAATCAGGATTGTCACTTTGTGGAAGCCGAACAGTTTCAAATTAGAACAAATTAGTTCAGCGAAGAGTCTCTTTTCGGCGAATTCATTCACTTAGCTGTACAGTCGCAAATATATACAATTAATTTTGTGTGTGTGTGTACATTAGGTTTGTCAAAATCAAAATAATAGTTAGTGTGGGTTGTTGATTACATCATCAAAATAATTAAGAAATTAAAATGTGTGATTAATAATCAAAGTTGTAACTAAGTGTGGTGAAGATTGGTAAGATGTGAGTAGGGTTACGTAATATAGACATGTTTAGAAAGATTAGATGTTAGCAAAAAGGAGTATGGAGACAATTATGAAAATAAACTAGATAATGGGTGAAAAGATTGAATGGGTTAGTTACTAAAAATTATTACACGAAGATTGCAAAAAAATTTGATAACAAAATGTTGATGACAGACAAACTTGAAATTAAACCCACGGTAGTAGGAGGGGGTGGAGAAGTTTCTTCTGTGTGCATAAATCAGGCTTTTCTATCCAAATTGCTAAGGCTTCGGCAATACAAAGTATACGGAAGCTTGTCGATTTTGGAAGGCTTCTTTTGACTTTATAGGTGACTTTGAACGAATTCTCCTTGCAAATCGAATGACCAGTGTTGAGTATATGCTCAATAATGGCACTCCTTATTGCTCCGTTGTTACCTTTCCGTAGCCAGGCGGGATAGTGTTCTTGAACTCTTATAAATAAAACTCGCATCGAACGACCTTTATATCTCGCTCCACAAGAGCAGGTGAATTGGTAGATAAACGTGGAAGTGGTCAAATGCGATAGTTTATCTTTAGAGTAGTTGAAGAACAATGGCCGGGAGGAAAATGTCAGTCGTAGTATGGCAGCGAAGAATGTCCTTCTGAGAGCAGTAGATATCCTCTTCTTCAATGTGTCAGCCAGAAGGTCACCTTTGAAGGGTACATTCATGTAGACCATCTTCTTCTGCACTGTAATGGGTTGTTCTTTGTGAGTCTTAGGCTTAATATGCTTGTCTATGAAACTGGGTGGATAGCCATTCTCGAGCAGTGTCTTCCTTAAGAGGGCGATCTCTTCCTCTATTGAGTCCGGACTACAGATTTTTCGGATTCTAGTCGCCAGAGATATTACCAAATTTCGCTTGCGACTTATTGGTACCCAACTGTAGAAGTTTGTCAACTGACCGTTCCATGTAGGTTTTCTGTGTACTGATCTGTTCAAGGTACCATCAGCCTTCTTACTTAAACGAACGTTCATTGTGATAATAGTGAAAATAATGGATTCACCGCACATCATGGTTGTTAACTGAGATTAAATAAGAATACGATCTGGTTCAGCACGCACTACGGACGACACAACTTCCCTTTCAGCTTTTTGCTTTCCACTATTGCCAATCATCTCTGGATCGTACCTGATCCGTACATCCACTTTCGATTCCTTTGCTTCAGTCTCCTTTTCCCTCCGCAAGTACCCTCGAGCTGTTGGCATACTATTACTTGGAGTGAGCAACTACATACCGAAAAAGGACTACTTCATCCCTACAATTCTTTACGTCTTTACTTGTGTATTTTGACACAATTATAACTCACCAAGTAACTATATTTTATTTGTATACTTATTTGTGTGGACTGAATTCCTCTCTACATACCCAAATGTTTGTAGTTGTTTTGTCCTTTTCATTCACGTATAAACGAGCTTAGCCGTTTAGTCCACCACAAATTGTATGTGGGTGTGTGTGCGTGTCCCAGGGTTATCCAACCACGATATTTTCCTACACCAGTGTCCCCTTAACGGAAAATGTGTGCTACCCATATGAGTTTATTGACTGAGGTTATCTGAATATTCGTATATCTCCTAAGTGTATCAAAGAGGTACACATTAAATGTCCAGTTTTTATCCAACAATCAAATACACTGATCGACAGGTAGAGTAGCTGTGGGCTACCTTTTTGGTTCATTACTTGCTGAATGTTTCATGGAGTGCCTGGAGTTGAATAATAATAATAATTTGCTTTATTCCAAAACAGTACTTGTGATACAGAATGGAATGCTCAGCATTTTTACTACAGTATTGCATCCAGTTAGTACATTATCAATAAATAGAATTCTACATAGATTAAGGAAATCTCAGTTCATTATGACAACAACACATCGGAATGTCAGTAGCAAAGGGAAAGCTGAACAGTGTTTAAAGGTGTTAGAAAAGTAGGAGCTGTCATATTTACTGGCGTAAGCGAGAGAAAGAAACAAAGCAGCACATAACGGAAAACAAGAGAGAGAGACAGAAAAGGAAAAGAAAGAAAGAAAATGTTGTACCTATAAATGTGATATGAGTTGGAAAGACGAGGTCCATTTGTACTACTGACTACTTAATCAGTTATAGATGTCACGCCTAATGCTTTCTTTATTGCATAGAACACGAGCTAAATAGGGTATGGTTGAGTTTTTGTACTTCCTGGTGCGAGAATATAGTTTTCTACATAGGCTTCTGGTTTTGCCTGATGAGATGCAAGGGGAGAGTTGTGAGTGAAGAGGGTGGTGTGAGTTAGATAAAATGGATTTGGCCCATTTTTCACATGAGTCCATGTGCCTGTCAGCCAGAATATTAACAAGCTGGTTAAGTGGCACATTGCTTACCCTGCTGACAACCTTTAACATCCTGCGTAATAAGGTATAGTCTTTCTTCAGTAGCCCGTGAAAAACTAAGGGGGAACAATAGAGAATAATAGGCAGAATGCGAGAGTTAACGAATTGTAGGAGTAAGGGTTGGGGGGTTATACCAAAATGTTTTAACTTCTTGATGTAGAGGGTAAGACGGAATATTTTTTTAGAAACCGCCAAGATATGATACGACCAGGAGAGATCAGCAGATAGAATGACGCCTAGGTATTTAATTTCCGACTTGGTTCCTATTTCAGTGCCATCAATGTTGCACACCTCATGAGTGCTAACCAGTTTATTTAGGTCGGATTTATGCCTAAATGTGAAATTGACTGTTTGGCATTTGGAGGGGTGTAAGGTAGGACTGTTTTCCTTGGACAACTGGCTGATTTCTGACAGAAAGTCATTTGGTTTGGAGCAGTCACTTTGACATTTGACAGGCAAAGATACAGTCAGATCGTCAGCATATTTGACAAAATTAATGTCATTTGAAGATGGTAAGTCATGTAGAAGTCATGTAGCCTCCGATCGGTCATCTATCAACTTGGTGTCTACTAGGGATACATAAATGATGTCTCTTGAAGTATCAATGAAAACTGTGAGCCAAATAAACTCCTGGAAATCTTGAACAATGCAAGCTGAAGTTGACTCAGAAAGGGAAACTATCCTTCCGAGATGTTCAGCGTTCATGGTGAACGAATAGATCTCTTCAAAGATTAATTCCCCACAAGCTAAAACGTTTTCTTCAATAACTAAGGTAAAGCAGTCGCATAGTCTGTCTCAGTAGGCGATAATCTATCGCGTTCCCAACGAAGTTACATTGTCTAGAGAAGAGATAAATGCATCTCCAACATCCTTTATCCTCAAACATTCAAAAAGGAAGAGCAATGCTCCAGTAAACCTAGATGTACCCAACAAACAGTTAGTTGTAAATCTAATAATCAAGGCATGTAACATTAGTAAATTTTTCCGAAGCCATCTTGTGATAGCGATTAAGAAAACGTCCTCCATCGTATCTTTTCCCATTTTTCTCAAAACGTCAGATATGCACTGCATAAGCAAACTTATGGTAGTTAGCAAAGAATAGATAAAATTCAAAGGATTGAAATAGTTATCCACAATTCTGTGATGTCCAAAGGCATTCAATCTGATAAAAGGCCGGCACTCTGATTAAACCACTCATCTACCTAAGATTTCATCAACCAAAATGTATCGAATTTCATACCTTCCTTCTTCAAAGCAATTTCTATTTACGCCACCTTTTAAATCCCTTTCAACCTGATACTAAGAATTTTGGAGGAAAATGAAGGAAAGATGACGCGGGAGAAAGGGTTGTTCTTCGGATATCATCGATTATCATTGTTATTTTTTTCAAATTGATGATTCTGTATATGGGGTCAGTAATTTGCAACGAAACATGGTCAGTATTATGTACAATGTACTAACGAATAATTATATGACCACCTGCTTGAATCCCTGGCCTACCTGAATTTATATCTAACACGCAATGAATCCTGTTTTCTCTGATTCTTATTGTTTCAACGATTTAGTTATGTTTCTGAGTCGTGAGATGTATTCAAGCATAATTTTGTTTGGCTTCCATGCGATTGCTGGGAATTTCTTGGAGTTGAAGGGAAGGTGTCATGAGAAACTAGTCTTTGCTTCAAATTGAACGGCACTGTGTCACATGATACACTGTAGACTGTTGTTTCATTTGAAGATCATTAGCGTTGGCGTGGACTGAATTCTAACAGTCAAATTTGAAATGTAGTCACCAACGAGCTAAGTGGCCAGCCATCATTGTGCACTGTGAACTGCTGATATGAGATAGTTGAAGGCACTCAGCAGGAAGCCTTGGTTCATTGTTTGATTGCTTGCCAACACTCCTCAACAAAGCGTTTCCACAGTCTTGAAGGGATTTGGACCCGTGTCATCCAGTGCTGCACTCAGGGATATTACCATTGATAGAATTCCAATACAGACCTTCAGGAGGTTACTCTTGAGCCAGAATAACAGTGGTGACGTCTTTGATTGAAGCACTAGTTGATCTGGGTTCGAATCTTGGTAGAGGAATTAATTCCTTCAAGACTACAGATACACCATGATAACCAGTGGTAACTGGCATGAAACGTAGCTTCAAGGCTCCATGCCGATTGCTTCAAATCATATAACAAGAAAATATTACGCTGGGAATTCTGTACACTGAGTGTACACTATTCCTCGTGCACAGCTATTATTTCATACAACTGGTTCCCTTTGTTAGTTTGAATAAAGAAAGAACATGAACATATTTGCAGTTTTGACAATACGAGCTCGTTCTATTTCATCGACTCTCCCTCTCTTCAACTGAGTACATCCTAAATAGATCCATTATATATTACAAAATAGAGTTTTAACATGCTTTTTAGAGTGATCTCATTTTACAGATAGAATGTACAGGCAACATAATTTCAAAGATGATGTAAGTAGACCATTATTCAGTGTTAAAAGAGTAACTATTTATATAGTTGTTAGACAAAGCGATGGAGTTCTGATTTCGCCTGGAGACAAGGATGAACTAGAGACAAAATACAAGATAGAACAATAGAGTTAATTTATGCAAATTATTATGGAGAGTTCAGGAGGCTGAGAGTGAATAGTGAAGTAAAATTGTAAAAAACCCTTACAAACCAAACTACAGAAAACTAATCTGATGCTCGCTAGTGATTTGCTACAGGATGCAGTTTCCTGCAGTGAGTTCTAGTGAGAAGTCGTGACCAGTGAGGTCCAATTAGATGTCACGTGTGTGGATGGATGTCCCACCAACGACAAGGTTGGGGTCGCGCTAAATCACGAATTGGTAGAAGTTAGAATTCATGCACTGGCCATTGAATCGGGTCCCAGTGGCTGAATAGTGTACGAGCTTGCCTTGTCACCGGAAGGTCCTGGGTTCGAACCACAGAGCAGTGGGTGCGTACTGCCGATGATTCTCAAACTAGGATGAAACAGCAGCTATCCAGTACTCCCTGGTTTCCAATGGTTTACTAACTGATATCAGTCCGTGACCAACTCGTGAAAACCAAATCTAATCCTTACAAACCAAACTATATAAAATAATTTAATTAAGTGGACTTGGAACTTTAATAGTGAGTTCACTTCAATGAGTGAAAATCAAAATCAAGATTGAGTGGAGTGTTATGCAACAGAACAAAACACAACAGCACACGAATAAAACAATTATGGTTACCAGGGTAGTGAGAGATTGATCACACTGTATACATAAGTTGGGTCAAAGTCTCTTGATGGCAGTGGCTTCCATGAACCGAAGTAACTTCGATTTTCTTGGTGTATTGATTATTTTGAGTCTGGCTATTTCCTACTGTATGTCCTGTGTCATTTCGGTGTCTGGAGATGGAGCTTAAGAATACTGTGCTGCCTTGAAAACGGAGACTTTTAGGGATATGCTTGGAGAATCTAGTAGACACTCTCCTCTCAGTCATTCCTTTATACCTGCTGCCGCAAGTGCAGGTGAGTTGGTAAATGCAGTTGGAGTTGACATGTTGGACAGGATACTTATCTACTTTTGACTGGATTAACGAGCATGCCGTTTTGTGAAGGGGAATGTGTTCTTTTTAATGCACCTTCATTTTTGTTTTCCGCTTTTCTGGATACGTCTTTGCCTTTGTACGTTAGACAGTTAAACACTGGCTTCTTTTCAACTATATCGGGTTTCAGTCTAGGTGGCTCTTTCCTTCCTTCGATGACTACGAGTTCCTCTTCGAGCCCTATCTCTGCTGAAGAGCGTTTTCACCAGGCTCCGTTTTCAGCCGATTGGATGTTGCAAGTGTTGGCCAGTCCGGGCTACTTTCCTGTAGATGGATTTTTCAACTGTCACATCATTTCTACTTTTTATGCTTATACTTTCTATCTATAACTTTAAATCATTTCTCGAAAGTATGCTCAGAAATTTTGTAATATATTATAATTTATTTATTCAGGGTGTATGCTGTTGAAGAGAGAGAATCAACGAAATATAAAACGAGCTCTTATTATCCTGCCTGTAAAATATGTATGCTCTTTCTTTATTCGAAGCTATTATAATTCAAAATAAATTTATCATCATTATGAAAGATTTCAATAAGAGTGAATATCGCTCAACTGAACTGTTTACTTAAAACCATCAACTTTATGAAGTGAGTTATTCAGAAAATGTCAAAACTTGATAAACAGTTATCCCAAGAATGGGTTATCATTTTCATTCATATATACACCTAATATTATCTCTCATTTGCATATATGACGAAAACAACATCTTTTATTTCCACATCATCTTTTATGAAAATAAGAGGTAGCCTTATGATAAATGATAATTTCCTGGAACAAACAGATGATAAGTAAACCCAGTTGGTTGATCAAACTACCTACTTATCTACCAGTATCTTTCAAACAAATCTTTCTCCTTAAGATGTTTCACAATAAATGAGGACATCTCATTGGATATTGAATGTATAAGTTGAGTTTTTCTTGACAAAATATTATTTTCAGTAGTTGGATCGTAGAGTTTAGATTTGTTTTTCGAATTTGACCACGGATTGATATCAGATAGAGAACCATTGAAAACCAGCAGAGAGTACGGGGCAGCTGTTACATCCTAGTTTGAGAATCATCGGTAGTACGCACCCACCGTCAGGGTTTGAACCCAGGACCTCCCACTTACAAGCGAAGCTCGTACACCATCCAGCCACTGGGACCCGATTCAATGGCCAGTCCATGGATTCTCATCATCATCATCATCATCATCATCATCATCATCATCATCATCATCATCATCATCATCATCATCATCATCATCATCATCATCATCATCATCATCATCATCATCATCATCATCATCATCATCATCATCATCATCATCATCATCATCATCATCATCATCATCATCATCATCATCATCATCATCATCATCATCATCATCATCATCATCATCATCATCATCATCATCATCATCATCATCATCATCATCAGTCCCTTGACTTTCGTCGTGGGGGTGCTATGACAGTTCGCGCTATCAGTCTTCGCCATTCTTCTCGGTTTAATGCTATTTTCTGTAGCGTATCCAAGGGCATTTCAGTCCACTCTTTTATGTTGTCAAGCCAGCTCTTATTCGGTCGACCTCTCTTTCGTGCTCCTCCTACTGTGCCTTGTAGAATCGTTTTGGACAATGTGTCATGTCTTACCGTGTGGCCGAACCATTGTAGTTTCCGTTTCTTTACGATTGAAAGGAGTGGTTCCTGTTTTCCTGCCAGTCTATGGACCTGGTGTAAGACATATTCATTAGTTTTCCTTTCAAGGTAACTTATTCCTAGGATCCTTCTATAGCTTTTGTTTTCGAAGGCTTGTATTCTTCTTTCTGTCTCTGCATTCAGGGTCCAGCTCTCACATCCATATAGGAATACAGAGAGGACCAGTGACGAGTAGAGTTTCATTTTTGCTGAGACGCTGATGTTGCTCTTCCATATTTTCCCTAACTTGGACATGGTGGCAGAGGCTAGGTTTAGTCGAATTTTTATTTCCTTAGTGGACCTTCCATCTTTTGTTAGGGTAGACCCAAGGTATTTGAAAGTTTCAACCTCTTCTAATACATGTCCATCAAGTCTGATACATCTATCTGAGTTGTTTCCTCCGTTAATGAGTATTTTGCTTTTTTCTGTGCTGATTTCCATGCCCACAGATTTGGTTGCAACATCAAGTCTTGAGGTGAGGTCCTGAACTTGATCAATGTTTTCCCCAATGAGGGCTATATCATCAGCAAATCTGAGGTTGGAAATTGGTCTTCCGTTTATGCTAAGTGTCGGTGTAAAGTCATGTAGGGTTTGTGTCATAATATGTTCGAGGAATAAATTAAAGAGGACTGGTGAGAGAATGCACCCTTGGCGTACTCCTATAGTTGTTCTGAAGAACTCGCCAGTTTGATTATTTAGAGATACTGCACTACTAGATTTGTTATATAAAGACTTAATAACCTCAATTATGTTTTTATCTATATTGTAGTTATTCATGACTTGCCATAAGCCTTCGTGCCACACACGGTCAAAGGCCTTCTTAAAATCGATAAAGTTGTGTACTAGCATTTTTTGGTGTTGTAGACATTTTTCGTTTAGTACCCTTATGTTAAAAATTTGTTCAGCAGTGCTTCTGCCCGGCCTGAATCCGGCCTGTTCTTCTGAGAGTATTTCCTCTACTTTCTTTTTGAGTCTGTTCAATATTACTTTCAGCATGACTTTACTTGGGTGGCTGATTAAACTTATTGTTCTGTAGTTCTCGCACTGCTTTGCGTCCCCTTTCTTAAATATTGGAATGATTAGTGACTGAGTCCATTCTTTAGGCCATTCTTTTTCTTGCCAGATTTTTTGACAGGCTGCTTTCAGCCATTTAACTGTTTGTGGTCCACCATGTTTAATTAGTTCTGCCGGTATGTTGTCAATTCCTGGTGATTTATCTCCCTTAAGTGATTTTATTGCTTCCTCTACTTCTGACTCTAGTATGGGTGAATCACCGATCTCCCTATTGTCCCAGCATGAATTGTTTATTAGGCTATAATTAGGGCTTATTTTATGATTGTAGAGTCCCTTACAGTATTCTGTCCACCTTCTAAGGATATCTGCTTCTTCTGTTAAGAGGGTGCCTTTACCATCCTCAATTACGGTTGCTCTATTCAGTTTCGTATTGGTCAGCTTACTCAGTGTTTCGAATGCTTTTTTATTGTTGCCTCCCCTTAAGCTATTATCGATGATATTACATTGTTCAGTAATCCAGCCCTCTTTTGCTCTCTTCATTTTGGAGCGTATTTCTTTGTCTACTGTTCTATACTCTTCCCTGTACTGGGAATTAAGTCCTTTCTTCTTTTTTAGTTCTCTTCTTGTATCACACAGGTTTAAAATATCGTCTGTGACCCATGGTTTGATTTTCTTTCTTTTGTTACCCAGAACTTCTGTTGCTGATTCATGCAGCACTGTTTTAATGGTTTCAGTGAGTGAATCGATATTGTCGTGAATCAAGGTAAGTGCAGCGAACTTGCCCCCTACATTTGCCTTAAACATTTCTGCTATGTTTGGGTCCCTAAGTTTCTCTAGGTCATATCTGATTCGAGGGCTTATTTGTCTGCGGTTCTGTTTTAGTTTTAATTTTATAGTCATTAAAACCATGTCATGATCGCTGCCTATGTCTGCTCCAGGAAAAGTTCTGGTTTTAGCCTTGTTAATGCTTGACTTGAATCTTGCTGGGAACAGAATGTAGTCTATCTGGCTATGTGTTTTGTTGTCAGGTGAGTGCCATGTTGTTTTCCTTGATGTCTTATGAGGGAATAGAGTGTTGGCCAGTGTGAGCTTGTGGCTGCTTGCAAATTCCAGCAGTCTTATTCCTCTCTCATTGGTTTCACCTAATCCAAAACGTCCAGCTGTGCCTGCCCATTGGTCATATGCATCTTCACCTACCTTAGCATTCCAGTCACCCATGACAATAAGAATGTCTTTTTTCGGAGCCTCATTAATACACTCCTCTAGTTCATCATAGAAGCATTCTACTTCCTCGTCCTGGTATTCAGATGTAGGCGCATAAACTTGTATTATTGTTATGTTAAGTGGTTGAGCCCTAACTCGTAGAGAAATGATTCTATTGTTTACGGGTCTACAGCTTATTACAGAGTTAACTTGTTTTTTGTTTACGATGAAACCCACACCATGTTGGTGTTTCTCTTCGTCCCCACTGTACCATATCTTATGACCCTCTTCTGTAGTTGTTACTCCCGAGCCTGTCCACCTAACTTCTGATAAGCCTAGGATGTCCCATCGGTATTTACTGAGTTCATGGGTCAGTTCTTTTACTTTCCCACAGGCATAAAGCGTTCGAACATTCCATGTTCCTATGACTGTGTCAGCATTTGGGAGTTTTATTAGTCGGTGTGTCTCAGTAGCTAACTTATCACTTCTGCCCTGTGACACGGCAGCAGAAAGCGCGGTCGTTGTTAAACCGGGCCCCGACCGATCCGGCATGGCGTTTACTGATATTGTTCTCATCATAGCATTACACTGGGTTTGATAGGTCTTGACGGCACCCATCTCCTATCCAAGACCGATTTTTCCTCAGGGTTGTCTCCCGAAGATGGACTGTCTTTCTGGACTTATGAGCTCCATCTACCCAGTATTGTGTTTGATAGTTCCTGGTGGGAACTATCTCCTCTCCTAGAGCGATGTTCCCTAAGGGTTGTCTCCCTAAGGTGGACTTATATTACTTACCTTATCTTACTTACCTTACCATGTCTCCGCAACCGTAAGCCCTACAGAGACGAGACTAGTACCAATAGATTCCTCTCGTCGAGCAAAATCCAATGGTATATAAATCAAGGGGTCAACGCTCTTCCTAAGGAAAATACCGGGGTTTCCCTGCGTAGCCGTTCCCGCCTCTCTGGTGTCCCTGAGGTTGATGCTGCCTATTACAGACCTATGCCATAGCATACAACCTAATGTTGCGGAGCTAAAAGTGTCAGGAGCTACGCCTGTAGCATGACCTACAGGCCAAGAGACAGAGTATCCTCCCTAGTCTTTGAAAATCCCTAGTCGGCCGAGGAGAAGCTATGTGTCCTTGAGACTGGTGGTAGTGGATAGATCTCATCGAGGGCTATCCATTGGTATATAGCTTCTCTAGGTCCTGGCCTCCCTAAGGAAAATTGCAAGTCTCGGCCCTAAGTGCCCTAGCATAGTAAGCATGAAGCTAGCTAAGTCCGAAATCTGGCCTAAACATGAATAAAAATAATAAGATATAATGTAAAAGGATAGAAGACTTACCATGGATTCTAGCTTCTAACAATTCGTGATTTAGCTCTAGTGACTTCCTACAGGACGGAGTTCCCTGGAGTTCTAGTGCGAAGTCATGAGGATGGATTTCCCACCAATGACATTAATTGGTGGTTTCTCCATGTCACGATTTGGTAGAAGTTAGAATTCATGGGCTAGTCATTGAATTGGACTCCAGTGGCTGAGTGCTATATGAGCTGGTCTTGTAACCAGAAGGTCCTGGGTTCGAACCTTGGGTGCGTACTGCCGATGATTCCCAAACTAGGCAGATGAAACAGCTGTTCAGTACTCCCTGGTTTTTAATGGCTCTCTAAATGATATCAATGCGTGATCAATTCGTAAAAACATTATTTACCTGAAACTTCATGGTAACAAGGCTTCATGTGAATAGTTCTAAGTATTCAACAATGAATTGGATCTACCTCACTGTAATGACAGTCAAATTACTTGTGACTTTATTAAAGTAAATCGTATGCGGATCAAACTGTAACTCTATGCATCACCATTGAACAAAGAGTAGAAAGCGGCAGTCAAATATCTACCTAACTTCTGTAAATTTTGAACAGGCATTCGACAGCGTTAACAGCGAATTAATTTTGGAAATACTTCGAAACTACGGAGTGCCCTTAATGTTTGTCAATCTCATTCAACAGCTACATAAAAATGCTATATGTCAAGGGAAAACTCAGCCATTTAAATGAATTTGAGAATAAGACAAGTGTGCCTACTATCACCAATGATATTCTTCATTTTGGTGGACTGGATTATTTGGAAGACTGTGGGGTTTGAAAAGGCGGGAAGACATTAGAAGATATAGACTTCGTGGAAGATTTATATTTAATATTACATAAACTGAAAGACTTGCGAGTGGAAACCAACATGTTGGCAGGTGAGGTAGACAGAAACGACTGAACTTCACTTGAGCATAGAGAAGACGGAAGTGATGAACGTACGTGGCCAACAGGGACAAGCATCAATCACCATCATCAGGAGGAATATGAAGGGGGTCACTTCCTTCACTTATTAATGTGGCACGGATGAGGATATCAAAACCAGGATGAAAAAAGCAAGGCTAACCTTCATCCCTCTGCAATCTATCTGGAAATCTGCTGCATAAATCACAAGGAATAAAATTCGGATTTTCAACACTAAAGATATGTCACTTCTTCTCTATGGGTCGG